GAGAGAGAGAGAGAGCGAGAGAGAGCGAGCGAGCGCGCGCAGTCTCTCCCGCGCACAGAGCGACGCGTCGACTAACCGCGCACTCCGGCAACAGCATAATAGCGCGGCGCGATGAAAAGAGCTTATCAATGCTAATGACTCGAAGTGACGGCGATGGTGTGAAGTCCCGCCCCCCGCTCATCTCTGCGCACACGTGAGCGCGTACCATCGATGCCGCTGCCGCTGCCGTTGCTGGCTCGCTGACTCCCCCCACTACCCCTCCGCCGTCTCCTCCTCCTCCTCCTCCTCGGCTACGCCCGCGTCTTTGAACGTGTGCGCGCCCGCCGCCAGCCGGACTTGCTCTCGAGCAGCGACGATGTAGTGATGAGTGGTGAGTGTTGATGATGACACGCAGTGCGACGACGTAACGCCAGCGAACAGCGACACGAGTTTCTCTCTCGCGCGCGCGTATACGCGCCAACCTGAAGCGTCGACCTGCATGCGTGAGCGCGTGGAGTTTTTCTCTTCTCTCGTTTGAGCTCGTGCTGCAGCGTAACTGCAGACGACCGGTAGTTCTCTCCGTGTGTATGTACTTAATGTCGAGATAACCACGCATCGAACGAAGAACGTCCGCGGTATTTATACACACCGATATATATATATACACACATACGTATAAGCCACCCCGGACTCCACGGAGGTTTACTTATCGACATTTCCACACACACTCGGCCAACACGATGATGTGCCACGGCGCCGCTCTGTCTGTCGCGGGTGTGCTGCTGCTACTGATAGCAGTCTCGCAGGCGAAGTACCTGAACATGTTCAAGGCGCAGCACTCGCCCCCGGACCCTTGCTTCGACGAGAAGGACGAGCCGACGCGATGCATCGCCGACTTCGTCAACGCCGCCTTCGGCAAGCCCGTGGAGGCGACGAGCACGTGCGGCACGCCCGCCTCGCGCTACTGCTTGCCCGTGAAGCCTGTGCTCATGAAGGAGACCAACAACCTGGATCTGAGCGAGGACGTTGTTACTGGAGAGCTGGAGCGTCAGTGCGGCATCTGCGACGCCGAGCACAGCAAGCGTCGACACCCGTCCGCTTATCTCACCGACCTCAACAACCCGCAGAACATCACCTGCTGGATGTCGGAGCCGATAGCGCCGTCGAATCCGACCAACGTCAGCCTGACGCTGTCGCTCGACAAGAAGTTCGAGCTGACCTACGTCAGCCTGCAGTTCTGCTCGCAGCGACCCGACTCGATGTCCATCTACAAGAGCGTCGACTACGGCAAGACGTGGATCCCGTTCCAGTACTACTCGAGCCAGTGCAAGAAGATGTACGGCAAGCCGACGAAGGCGATCATCACCAAGGCCAACGAGCAGGAGGCGCTCTGTCTCGACCCCACCACCAGCGTCGACTCGATGTTCACGAGCGGTCGCGTCGCCTTCTCGACGCTCGAGGGCCGCCCGTCGGCGTTCGACTTCGACAACAGCCCCGTGCTGCAGGACTGGGTGACGGCCACCGACATCAAGGTAGTCTTCAACCGACTGTCGGCCTACAGCAGCGAGAACGACTCGAGTCCTGGCGAGAGTTACTTCTACGCCGTGTCCGATTTCTCCGTCGGCGGCCGCTGCAAGTGCAACGGACACGCGTCCAAGTGCGTCCGAAACCGCGAGGGCAAGCTCGTGTGCGACTGCAAGCACAACACGGCCGGAGCGGAGTGCGAGAGATGTAAGCCGTTCCACTACGATCGGCCCTGGGGTCGGGCGACGTCGCTGGAAGGCAACGAATGCGTCGGTAAGTCGTAGAAATGCGATCGTCTGTTGTTGTTGTTGTTGTTGTTGTTGTTATTTTCGTCGCTTTGGGAGCGTGTTTTCGGTCGCTCAGCGGTAAAGGAATCGCGATTCAAATTTTTTCCCAATAATTAAAAGCAATAAAAATCAACAATGAACCAATGTAGGCGCTTGTGTACATATTATAGAGAGAAAAATATATATAGAGAGAGAGAGAGAGAGAGAGAGAGAGAGAGAGACAGAGAGAGAGAGAGATACATTTACATATACATATAGGAAATTAACGCTCTTTACATCATCCCGTATGTTTTCGTGGATAACTGCCCCGGCATGCCAAATATAAGCTAAGCGTGAGATATGCGAACGACGCATGACGTTAAATATTCGCGATCCCGTACGGCGTCTGATCGTCTGATGGATGACGCGAGTGCATCGGCAATGCGTCAAACCACGCCGCCCGTAGTCTCTACACCAGCACACACACACACACACACACACACACACACACACACACACACACACACACACACACACACACAC